TAAATACAGTAGACTGACACAACTGTAAAATTTCAAATCTTGGAAGCATTGTGAAAATACGTAATACCATCCAGTTGTTTGAAACAGATCTATAAAATACTTTGTAGGCTGTCAAGTCACTTATATGATAAAGTGTAATGAAACGAAATTAGAATTTCAAAAGCATTTGACAAAATTTATTGCATTGTGCATTATGAGAATTTGTTCTTAGCATACATGAATATACAAAGGGTTGTCAAGCAACTACATCAGAAAATGAGTTGTTTTTCAATAATGCAGACTGAATTCATTGAATTACAGAAATTCAGCTCAAGTATTTATGTTTCTCTACATAGTTTCTTTACATGCACATACAGATTCCTGGTGAAGTTATCAGAAATGAAACAGAATGCATGTTAAAAAATATCACATATAGGTATGAAAAAATATTAGTGATATAATGCAAATAGTTGTGCCTGTTATGACTTTGTTATTTAACTGTAGCTGTCTTACAGTCTATTGTTCTTTAACTATATTGGGACCCTCTCAAATAAGTAAGGAAGGTTATAGGACCATACTTGGCACTAAGTAAAGTAGAATGCATTTTTAATGAGTTAGTATCTTTTTGGAGGGGAAATTTGCTTTCAGAGTTTATTTGGATTTTTTAAAATAAATTAGAGCAAAAATAGTATTCAGGGAACCTCAAAAAAGGAAAATTCCATAGTAATGACTATCTTATTCCTGCCGAAAAGGAGGCAGCAGTAATATTTTATTGAAAATAATTAAAATATAATACTGTAAACATTGAAGCAAAACAAATGTAATAATGCTGTAGAAAGACATGAATTCAGTCGCTGTAAAAATATTACTCTTGCTGGAGAATCTTCTCAACATTGTTGTGTTGCTTCTACAAGTTGTCAAGAAAACAAATTAGTTAATTTTGTCCTGGAATAAGTTTGTATCCCAAAATGCAATGAGAACTAGCAATTATTTAATGTGTAACTGAAAATGTTTTAAACCAGTATATTGAAAGAAACTAACCTGGAATGTCTCATAATGTCACCTTGAGTAAATTTTCGGTGGACAGCGCTTTAAATTCATGTTGTTTACATTGATTAAGGCTCAGCTGACTTGCTGCAAGTTGGACAATGGCTAGCGTCAGTTTTCTAAAAGCAATGAGGTATCAATGCTACTCAAAGGCAAATGTGCTACTTTTGTATGATAGTGATATGTACCAAAGGGTTTTTTTTTTCTCTACACCTACAAGTCTAATGCGTAGATTAACAAAGAACAAGTGTTGTCTTTGTTTTGGTGAAATACAGTGCTAAATACAAGTTACTCAAAGAAATAAAGAAAATCTGAATGCCACATTAAGTATGTGGGAGAAAAAAAAAACACCTATGACCACTTAATTGTCTTTACAGGCATTCATGTTGCAGGATTGTCCATGTTATTGTTTTTAGCGGTATTGTAATAGACGATTATAAGGAAGGGTGGGTTTGTTTTTTCCTCCTCTACTATTTTGTTATGCGTACTGGTTTGGGCTGGGATAGATTTAATTTTCTGCATAGTAGCTCCTGTGGCACTCTGTTTTGGATCTGTAATCAAAGCAGTGTTGGTGACACACTGATGTTTTAGTTATTGCTGAGCAGCACTTACACAGTCAAGGCCAGGCCTTTTCTGCTCCTCACCTCACACCACCAGTGAGTGGGCTGGGGATGCACAAGAAGTTGGGAGGGGACACAGCCAGGACAGCTGACCCCAACTGACCAAAGGGATATATCATGCCATAGGATGTCACACTCAGCAATGAAAAGGTGGGGAACAGAAGGAAGAAGGGGAGATGTTCAGAGCTCTGATGAATGATGAATGATGGCATTCATCTTCCCAACTGTAGTGCATGATGAAGCCCTGCTTTTCTGGAAGCAGATAAACACCAGCTTGCTGATGGGAAGTAGTGAATGAATGACTATTTTGCTTTGCTTGTGCACACAACTTTTGCTTTACCCATTAAGCTATCTTTATCTCACCTAACAAGTTTTGAAACCTTTACGCTTCTGAGTGGCTGTATGTGGCTTAGGAGCCCTCTAGGGTGAACTCAGACTATTGTAATAATACTGTTTTGCTGTTATGTGCATCATACAGGATACTCTGGCTTAGTTTACTGGAAGGTTTCAAAGCCAGCACAACTATCTAGTAGTAAATCTGATGACTGTTCATTCATCACAGAAAAGTGTGGCCTATGTATGTCCTCTCATTTCTATAAATGCTTGTGATCTGCCAAATGCGAGGATTAATCAGGAGGTCAATGTATGCTTCTAATTCATTTTGGTTGAGGTGCTCCTATCCCATGTTTGTATTGCTGTTACTTTTTCTATGTACTTTTCCTATTATACAAACTATTTCTCTAAAAGTTTACTCTATAACAGCTGTTACAAGACAGAATTCTCACAAGGAGCAAACAGATTTATCCTGTACAAAAGTAGGTAAAAATTACACTATAAATTCAAACTTCATGTTTTAAGAAAAAAAAAAATATGTTTTTTCCCCCTTAGACTTGTATATCAGTACATCAGTCTCCTAAAAACTGCTTTCAGTTCATGACTTAGTGCAATATCTATGTCTATTAAATGGGAAACTGAACCCCAAATATGAAATAATTTTAAATGTTTCCCATGGGATCCTTTCCTTGCTGCCATTTAAGTTGATGACAAGTGTCTATTGGCTCTACAGATGATTTTCAGACTTCAAAATATGAAAGAAGTTGATCATCTTATGTGTTGTGTTTCAAATGAAATTCTTTCTAATAATTCAAAAATGCTTTTTTTCAGGAAGGAGTTTCAATGTTTTTATAAAGCAAAAGCTGAAAGATGCTGTCCTTCATTGGTTATACAGAAGTCTATTAATACTTATTCCTTTCAGTCTGAGCAATGATGGGAAAGTACTCTTCTGTGTTCATATGTAAATCACAGAGATGTATTTCAGACGCACAGAAATATTTCTTGCAAACAGAATTGAGAAGTTAGCTCATTGTGTATATTTTTCCAGAATCAAATCTGTTTATAAATAATTCATTAGCAGTGTAGAAAATGTATTTGCTTATATTTTGCAAATCAGTATAGAAACATAACAAATGTATTTGCATGTGGATTACTTTTCCCACAATTATTTCTTTTACATAATATATCATATCATGAACTTCCTCTTCCTGGCCTGTTGACAACAAAAAGAATCAGATGTCAAATGATTTGCTAATGTTTATACAATTATCTTTTGGTTTGAAAATAATTTGAAGTAGTAAGTGTATAATCTAAGAATCTGTAGAAATGGCAACCTTTGATTTGCTTAAGTATGACATTGCTGGTGAACTAGTGCAATTGCTGTAGATCTGCTTTTATTATGATTTTCCTACAGCTTCAAAATTGAAAGTTGTGCCTACCTAAAAAAATTAAATTTTTCCCAACAACTTTCAAACAAGGTCATTTTGATATTTTTTGTGAAGTCAAGAAGAAAGAAAAATGACTGAAAAGTTCTTTAAAACTGTTCCTTTCTTGAAACAGTTTTGATTTTTATAAATGCAGGAAAAAAACTAAGTTCAACTTTATTAGATCCATGTCTAGTATGTTTTCATACTGGTATTTAACAAACTCTTCTCAACTGGAAGCTTTTAATGTTATGTTTGCTTTCCTTGATCACTAATGGTATGTTTTTCAAAAGCATTCGTGCTTCCACCATCCATAACAAGCTGAAGGACCCTTTAGCATTAGCTAGTCCATTACTGTCCATTGGTACTGTCTGCTTTCAAATCTTTCATCTTTCTTTTTTACCCTTGCTCCACTGATTTAGTCACTGATATTTACCATATGCCTGACTCTTTTCCTGTCTCTCTGATGAAAAGGTCTTACTAATTAATCCTCATTCTTGATTTTACATTGTTTACATAAGGCAAAATTTACTGTGATAGAAATAATCCCACAAATAATCCTTGTTTGCTTTTTCGGTCCTGCTTTCCCAAAGCTCTCTGACTAAAATTGCATGCAGAGACTCGTTTAAGTTCTCCTTAATCACCAGTACTTCTGTGCCTTTGTTTAATGGTCCAAAGTCCAGACATCAACTTCATTTTTTCCAGTGTCTTCAGTTATGGTCCTTATTTTCAGGAGGAAAGCACATACTTTTCTGCTGGGGAATCTTCCACACTGGTCCCTTTGCCAGTGTCTTTGTGGCAGCAGTACCAAAATCGCACAGCTCTGTAGACAGTGAATAAATAGGCTGAAACAGACAATCTCATCTTCTTAGGATTCTTCATTAACCTCCGTTACTCCCTGCAGCCTGCTTCTCTTGTTTTCTTTGCCTGTATCTTGAATTAATTTTGTGCCTACTCTTCCCATTTATTGTGTGAGTTTTGTAACGACTTCAGACCTCCCTGTGCTTTGTTTCTTCCCAGGGAGAACAACATACCCATTTATTACAAAATATCCTACATACCTTCCAACCTTTACTGTCTCCTACCCATCTGTAAACTCCTTAGGGTTTTAGGTTTTTTTTTTTTGTGTTGGGTTTTTTGGTGGTGTTTTGTTTGTGGGTTTTTGTTTTGTTTTGTTGTTTTTTTAATCTAACATCTGCCTTATGTTTCCCTAAAATTATTTGAAAATTCCATCCTTATCCTTACATTTTTTTCTTTTTTTCATCCTTTCCTTTTCTGTTTTCTAACAAATTGACAGTAGTGGTTTCTTTTATACTGTTCATTGACTTTTGCAAATTCTTATTCTGTTAAATCTCTCTAACAATTTTGTCAGTATTTAAGTCAGTAGATTATTGTCATGCTTCCTCCCATACTTGATTTCTGGAAAACAGATTTTTACTTGGAACTCCATCCTATAGGAAAAAAAAAAAAACAAAACCCTCACAGTTTGCAAGTTTTGACTTTGATATAGTCATTCATTAATTAATTGGGGGTTATATATGTGAAATATTTTATGGAAATGCTAATAAACCTAGGGTTGTTACTTTTCTTTATTCAGAGCCTCAAACCTGCACTTTGAAAGACTTTCTTTGTGCAAATGGAGACTGTGTTTCAGCGAGATTCTGGTGTGATGGAGACTATGACTGTGCAGATGGCTCTGATGAGGTAGGCTTCTTCAAGGGAAAATACTTCTTTAGAATATAAGTAGGTTTATATTTTTGGAGAATGGTTTCCCACCCATGAACATTTTAAAAAGCTGCAATGAGGATTCTACACAATCCATATATACAAATATCCTTAATAAATTAAACCTATTGAAATAGTTATCCTAAAAAGAGAACATACAAATAAAACCAAGTCATGTTTAACAATAGCCTACATCTTTTTAATCCAGCAATAATTTGGACCTCTTCCCATCCTGGAAATATTTTGTGTCCTGTTTGGGGAACTGCTCTTTCTACACATAGCAGTGTTTTGGTTTGGTTTGGGGTTTGTTTTATTTTTTTTTTGACAAAACAATGTAGACTATTTGTTGTTTAGCATAAACTCACTAGATAATACCTTGTTATTTTTCTGTTCATTCATATAACTTTTGTCCCTTCTTTCCTGCCTAGGTGCTTCCTATCTACTTAGAGGGTGCAAGCCACCTTTCGTGAATCATATCTACAAATACATTTTTTTCATAAAGCTTGCTGTATTTCATAGTGTGGAGGAATATAGACTGTAACTTCTGTGATCAGCTGTATATTTACCAATGTTTATATTAAACTCTTTATCTTGTATATACTTTTTTTTTTTTTTTTATTGTACCAGAGGTATTGTGAAACAAGCTGTTCTAGAGATCAGTTCCAGTGTTCCAATGGTCAGTGCATATCAGTGAAATGGAAATGTGATGGTCATGAAGACTGCAGACTTGGGGAGGATGAGAAAAATTGTGAACCAGGTACTGTTTTCAATAATGCTGAGAAATGTAAGTAAGGACTAAACCAGAATGAAATAAGGATAAAATAAATCAACAAATCAAGATTCCTTGGGCACTTGAAGTAGCAAGGAGTGCAAAAACCAATTCTTAGTGATAAAACGCAAATATCCTTTCACTATCATACAATTTACTTAGGATGCAACAATCCAGTTTTGTCAAATATGCGATAGTAGTTTACAAAGTAATTTGGAAAAGCTCTGATCATCTACAAATATGTGTTTACTCAGTGTTAACTAGATGAAAACAAATTATAAACCAACTTATTTATAAATTGTCTTTTTCTTAATGCTAAAATGTGTGTTTGTAACCAGCATCTCCAACATGCTCTTCAAGTGAGTACGTGTGTGCAAGTGGAGGCTGTATTTCAGCGTCTTTGAAATGCAATGGAGAGTATGACTGTACTGATGGATCTGATGAGGTAGGTGACAAATTTCTGTTGATTTTTTTTTTCCTAACCTACTCTCTGACATGAAATTTGTTAACAGCTTTAGATCTGAAAATAATTAAAAGGGCAAATGTTTTGGGGTGCTTTTTTGCATCCATTGCACTCTGTTAGATAACAGTCCCATGATTTTTGCTCCCTGGTAGTTACACTGCATTATGTGTGTTTGCTCTGTGGCACCTCTTATAATAAAGAAAATTGTGTCCCTTAAGTCAAAACCTGAGCATGGTTCTGGGGAGCTTTACTTTAGGGAATGCTTTGTACTGGCAGTGTGGAGAAGTTTGTGTCAGAATTGCCTCCCTCTGTCCTCTAGATTCATCTAGTATAGTCCTGGCAGACACCTCAGACTGCATGGGCCTTCATGCCATGCTCTTCCTACTGTTGCACTGTTGATCTCTTTTTAAAAAATTTCTTTCTTGAACAACTTCAGTAAAATATACCAAAAATGGTTGTAGAGCAGTTGACTTCAGAAACGTAAATGTAGCCATTGTTCCCATTGCTAATATTAAACAAGGTAAAGAGGTAATATCAGAACACATAAAAGGCGTGATTACAATTTCACTTGGGCTTCACTAACTATTTAAATTGTACATTGTATTTTCACAGACAACTTTATTGTATTAAATACACAATGCAATGAAAAACAGTGTTGGTAAATTTTGTTCAGTTTGTCTTAAGTATGTTGCAGTTCTTCTTCATTAATACTTATTTCGTATCTGTATTCACCCAGATGGATTGTGTAACAGAATGTAAAGAAGATAAGTTTCGATGCAAAAATAAGGCCTACTGTATACCTGTCAGATGGCTTTGTGATGGGATCCATGACTGTGTGGATGGCAGCGATGAAGAAAATTGTGACCAAGGCAAGCGACACTTTTCTTTAATAGGCTTAATTTATTGTTTTTTTATTAACACACATTGTAATTTAGTGGTACCCTGGCCATTCTGAGTGGTGAAATGAAAGCTCTGTGACCTCTTTTGACCTCTTTCTTGTGATTTTGGGGGCCCCAGAGCTGGACGAAGTACTCGAAGTGGGGTCTTACAAGAGCAGAGTAGAGAGAGAGAATCACATCCCTCAGCCTGCTGGTCATGCTTCTTTTGATGGAGCCCAGGACATGGTTGGCTTTCTGGGAGTGCAGGTGCATATTGCTGGGTCATGTTGAGCGTCTCATCAACAAACACCCGTAAGTCCTTCTCCTCAGGGCTGCTCTCAATCCATTCTCTGCCCTTCTTGTATCTGTGCTTGGGATTGCCCCGACCCACGTGCAGGACCCACTTGGACTTCTTGAACTTCATGAGATTTGCATGGGCCAACTTCTGAAGGCTGTTAAGGTTCCTCTGGATGGCATCCCTTCCCTCCAGTGTGTCAGCCATTTGGTATCCTTGGCAAACTTGCTGAGAGTGCACTCAATCTTACTGTCCATGTCACTGACATGTTAAACAGTGCTGGTCCCACTACGAACCCCTGAGGAGCAGTGCTTATCACCACTCTCTGCTTGGACATCAAGCCATTGACTGCAACTCTTTTTGAGTGTGACCATCAAGGCAATTGCTTATCCACCAAGTGGTTCATCTCTAAAATCGATGTGTCTCCAGTTTGGAGACAAGGATGTCATGTGGGATAGTGTCACATGCTTTGCAGAAGTCTAGGTAGATGACATCACTTGCTCCTCCAGTATTGTTCACCACTGCTGTAACGCTGTCATAGAAAGCCATCAAATTTGCCAGGCACGATTTTCCCTTCATGAAGCCATGGTGGCTGTCGCCAACCACCTTCTTATTTTCCTTGTGCCTTAGCATAGTTTCTGGGAGAATATGCTCTGTTATCTTGCTGGACACTGAGATGAGGCTGACTGGCCTGTAGTTTTCCAGGTCTTCCTTTTTTAACTTTTTTCCCTTTTAAAATATGGGAATTATGTTTGCATTTTTCCAGTCAGTGGGAACTTCACTGGACTGCCACAACTTCTTAAATAGAATGGAGAGAGTGGCTTAGACACTTCTTCTGCCAGTTCCCTCAGCACCCACAGATGCATCTCTTCAGGTCCCGTGGACTTGTGCAACTTCAGGTTCCTTATATGTTAGCCCACAGTGGATAGTTCTTCATTCTCCTGGTCCCTGCCTTTGCCTTCTGTGGCTTGGGCGGTGTGGCTGGAGCTCTTGCCAGTGAAGACCAAGGCAAAAAAGTTGAGTATCTCAGCCTCCTCCGTGTCCCAGGTAACCAGGTCTCCTGTTTCCTTCTGGAGAGGGCCCACATTTTCCCTAGTTTTCCTTCTGGAGAGGGCCCACATTTTCCCTAGTTTTCCTTCTATCACTGACATACCTATAGAAGCTTTTCTTGTTGCCCTTGATGTCCCCAGCCAGACTTAATTCTATGGGGATTTTAGCTTTGCTGACCTGATCCCTGGCTGCTCAGGCAATTTCTTTGTATTCCTCCCAGGCTGTCTGTCCATGCTTCCACCCTCTTTAGGCTTCCTTTTTGTGTTTGATTTTGTTGAGGAGCAACTTGTTCATTCATGCAGGCCTGACTTCTTCTTTGTTGGGATGCATCGCTTCTGAGCTTGCAAGAGGTAATCTGTGAATATTAACCAGCTTTCTTGGCCTTCTCTTTCCTCCAGGGCTTTATCCCATGATACTCACCAAGCAGGTGCCTGAAAGTGCCAAAGTCTGCTCTCCTGAAGTCCAGGGTAGTGAGCTTGCTCTTCACCCTCCTTGCTGGCCTATGGATTTTGAACTCCACCATTTCATGGTCACTTCAGCCAAGGCTGTCCTTGAGTTTCACATTTCCCACCAGCTCCTCCCTGTTGCTGAGAACAAGGTCTAGCATAGCAGCTTTCCTTTTTGGCTCTTCTATCACTTGGAGAAGGATGGTGGTACCAACACATTCCAGGAACCTTCTGGCTTGTTTATGCCCTGCAGTGTTGCCCCCCAGCAGACATTAGGGTGTTAGTTTGTTTCTCTATCTCTATGGAGATGAAATGTTGCAACTAATAAGAACCTATGAAACTGCATTTTGAATTTTCACAATCTCTAGAGAGAACTGTGCACATAAGTTGATTCACAGGACAATAAACACTATGCTCAAACCTTCATACTTGTGATTAAGCTACTAAATACGTGTTTGAGAAATACATCCGCTGATCTAATTTTCATAGTTCAATAATTCAATAATAGTGACAAACACAGAAATTCTTAGTCAGATTTTTTTAAAAGCAAAATGTGACTCAGTGTTTTGTCAGCTTCTTACTTTTTTCCAGATTTTTCATTTGCTTTTCTTTTAAGTGGGTAGTTCTCTGTGTTAGTCATCTGCAGTCACATATGCGTGTAACTTCAAAAGCATTACACGGTACAATAATCAGTAATAATAATCAGAGATGAAGCAGCAATTACCAAGTAAAATATCCTTTGCTTATTGTGTTGTAAGTTTGTTAAGCAACACTTACCACTAGGAATAAAGGAAGTTATATGGGATGATTAAGTTTGAAATGGATCAGAAAAAGAAGAAAATGGGAAGAATGTTCCAGATACCTTTAGATGCAAAGAGAAAAACATCATGTTTCAAAGTGTTGAAGAATGAATTCTTTTAAGAAGACTGAGATAAAGTTTTTTAAAAAGTTCTACTTCAGTTTAAAACTGCTTTTAAAATATCTGAACTGTATCTCTTCAAAAAACAATGAAGCGTAAGGAAACAGAAAAGCACTTGTTTTATCTGAAGCCCACATTATTCTTTGGCTAGCATAATGGAGTTTCTGTGAACTGCAGATTGCTTATAATGCAATAAGAAGCCTTTTGCCTAGTTGCTTATTGCTATAATGCTTTGTATTTATGTCACAATTATGATTTCTGTTACAGAAATCTGTTTTCTAAAGGAATTATGACAGGCAGAGCAATCACAAAAACAAATGCCAGTTTATCTCACTGATAACTAATTTTTTCTTCTTTGGAAATACAGCAAACACAAATGGAGTTTCATTCTACAGCATTCTAAAACAATATCCGTAATATTTATCTGTAGCCCACTCTTCGTATTTATAAACATAGCTCTTTTCAATCTTATTATACAACTAGAATTATGGTTATATTGTCATTACACTCACACAATTATTTATATTCATGTCTTTCATAATGAAGAATACGTGAATTTTATATATTTTTTTCTTGGATAATAATACAGAATATTGCTTTTAATGTTCATAAGTTGTATCTGCAATGGGAGTTAATTATATTTGGTAACACAGTGTGAGAGTTCCCAACATTCTCTTACACAGTGGGTATTTCATACAAATTAATATTCTGGGGGCAAAAAATTTAAAACATTCTGAACTCTGTATAGCAAAAAAAGCAGCTTTTTTTTTATTATTTTAATGGGGTGTGAACAAGGCACTGAATGAATAAGTAAAAAGCCACTGGAGCCTGATCTAAATATTGGGGTGGGTGTAATGAATTGAGGTAAGCCACAGCTAGAGGTTTGGTGTTAGCATGTAAAATTTCATTGTTTCCTCCTCTGCAGGTACACAGCTTTATTTCTTTTACACTCCTCTCAGGAAACTGAGAATTCAGTTACCATAAAATTGTGTAATACAGAAAATCTGTTTCAGGAAGATTCTGTAACTTTGTTGATTGGTAATGTTAAAATTTAGTCATAATTTTGAAACAATATTGCTACACATATTAAAATGGAATCCATCTTGAACCAATTCTTAAAGCTTGAGCACTCCAGCTTAAAATGTTTTCTCACCCTCTGTTCCATTTTGTTAGATGATTAAATCAATACTGAAGTTACATGGAAGAATTTATTCTCGCTGCCTTCTGTATTGAGTAAATATCCTAACGAGAAATTTCAAAAAAAGGAAGAAACTGGTAGAGGTCATCTAGTCTTACCTATTCTGTGCCTATATGGCTAGATCTTCCCTAATTAAGGAATTTATAATTGATGGGAATATTACAAGCCTGGTCAACCCTATTACTCCTCTGGAGAAGAAAAAGATGCTTCCCCATGTCTGAGGGACTGCAATCACTTTATCTCTTCTGAGCACATTGTGTGGCTTATAGAGATGGAGTTGGAAGATCAGACATTCGTATGAAACAGACGTGAACTGAAGTGGCCTTTCACAAGATTGACTGCATTTCTGTCTTCTGATTTGTACCATTCTCTAATAGCACAAATTACTGATTTTCTTTTTTCTTTTTTTTTTTTTTTTTAATGTGAGGTTTGAGTGTCTGTCTTTGATAGCTGCTTTTTGTAGTGAGGCCAAACAGGTAATTCCTAGCTAATAGTCATGAAAAGAAAGTGAAAGAAGTGTATGGTCAAGAAAGAGATTTTTAAATTAAAACTTCTCTCTGCCTTTCAAACCCTTTCATTTGGGATTTGTACATTTAGTTATGCTAAGTATGTGTCATTCTCTGCAGATAGTATGTGATAAGTGGTTGTACTGGTTTTATCAAGAATTAACATTCTTTCTTTTGTCTTTCATTTTCCTGGTTCCGTTTTTGTTTGGTTGTTTTGTTGAACTTTGTTTTGTGTCTTCTTTTCATCCTCCCAGGAGGAAATATATGTAGAGCTGATGAATTTTTATGCAACAATTCCCTCTGCAAACTACATTTTTGGGTTTGTGATGGCGAGGATGACTGTGGAGATAACTCTGATGAAGTTGCTGAAATGTGTGGTAATACATTACATTTTTCAGTGCTTTTTATGTGGTAAAGAAATGATATTCAGTGTACATAAATGTATAAGGACGTCAGTGTCTATTTTATTTTAGAAGATTAGCTTGAAACATGGGATATAGCTTTCTGTTCTTAGAATCATAGAATAGTTAGGCTTGGAAAGGACCTTAAAATCATCTATTTCCAACCCCCCTGCCATGGGCAGGGGTACCTTGCACTAAACCATGTCGTCCAAGGCTCTGTCCAACCTGGCCTTGAACGCTGTCAGGGATGGAGCATTCACAGCTTCCTCGGGCAATCCATTCCAGTGTCTCACCACCCTCACAGTAAAGAACTTCTTCCTTATATCTAATCTAAACTTCTCCTGGTTAAGTTTGAAGTCATTACCCCTTGTCCTACCACTACTGTCCCTAATGAAGAGTCCCTCCCCAGCATCCTTGTAGGCCCCCTTCAGATACTGGAGGGCTGTTGCTGCTAGTCAAGTAATTTCAGATAAGATATTTCTGAGAAATTAATCTTTTTGTAGAAAACACACAGATGAGAAAAAATTACTTCTACATTGAAATACTGATCATCATTAAGCTTCCTACTTCCATTGTTTTATTTCTGTCATATTACTGATTCTCAAAAAGAAGTGTAATTCCACTTATCACAAAATATTATTTCATTTCCTAAATGAAGAACTTACACTGTAAACAGTGTTAAAGTGTTATTCCATTATGTACTAGAAGTTAAAGTCAAGTACCATTCATAAGCCTTGTACAACTGTGTTCCCATACCTGCATATTGCTGTGATAAGCAGACATTGGAAAAGGGTTGAGAATACTAGCTGTGTAATAGCTGATTCTTTTTTTAATATACAGTAAAGTTTCCATGCCCTCCAACAAGGCCGTACAGATGTAGAAACAACAGGGTTTGTCTACGACCTGAGCAGATTTGCAATGAGGTTGATGACTGTGGTGATAACTCGGATGAAGATCACTGTGGTAGGTGACATTACCTTTCAAGCCATTCAGCAACTTGAAGGCAAACTATGTTACAGAGATCTGCTTGTCCTTCAGTAAAGCTTAACTGGAGGTTAGTAGATCAGAATTTGAAATTGAAAGAAATTAAGCTTGAAATAATTTTCAGTTCCTCAGTGCTTCATGATCATTCCCATTTGTATGTGTCTAAAGTAATCTAAGAATCTTAAATACTGATTTATTTTTCTCTTATTAATTTGCAATTATATAGATAAAACCACATATAAAGCAAGACCATGTAAAAAAGATGAGTTTGCTTGTAATGATAAGAAGTGTATTCCAATGGAGTTACAGTGCGATTGGTTTGATGACTGTGGAGACGGTTCAGATGAGCAAGACTGCAAAATAAGTGAGTTTGATAAGATATGTTTTTGTGATTGTAGCAGAAAAGAAATAATTTACTGATACTTTCATCCATGCAAAATTTTCTCAACAACACAGCAGTTAATTAAAGTTGTGGGGGTTTTAATTAAAAAAAGAGCTCATTCTATTTGACCTACCACAAGAGAAAGGCAAATTTTATAGCAATTTAGGTTGTAGTTTTTAGAGTAGTTCTTGATTTTGAAATAGTTTAGCTGAAAGTTGCTTTTATTTTTTTTCATATTAGAAACAAGATAAATTTTAGTAGTAAATTCTTGACGTGAAATGAAGTATCTAAATTGAATACAATTGATATACATATGTAGGTATATACTGTAATGTCATAGTTTTATGTAAAATTTACCTGAACTCTTTTAACAGGTAGTTAAATTTGTTATTTGTTGTTATCTTAGATCTCATTTTTAACAGTTTCAACAAATCTGTAGCTGTTTTTTAGACATTTTGTTTATGTTAGGTGTTGCTGAATATACATGTGAAGATAATGTGAATCCGTGTGGAGATGATGCATACTGTAATCAAACAAAAACATCCCTACTGTGTCAGTGTAAACCTGGATTTCAGAGAAACAAGAGGAATAGACAGTGTGAAGGTACAGGTCTTTTCCATCACCCCCTGCTGTACAGTATTAAAAATCATACATATTGTCAATTTTCTATGCTGGAGAAAGGGATACATATCACATAGTTTTTTTCTGTAGAGTAAAAAATCATGGCTATGGGATTAAGAAATCAGGAAAAGAAACAGGATTACAGGATATAGATATGTGCATTTTATCATGAAAGATTATCAAATATTAACATTGGTTGAGAATGCCTAAAGGTGTATGGTAGACCATAAAGTGATTTTATGATTTAAGGGGTAAATGGGTGGTTAAGGTCTAGTGGATTATTTAACTGAGAAATTGGGGTTGGTGTTTAAATTGGTATATGAGAATATTTTGAGACGTTTAAAATAATGAAGATGCATAAACCAAAACTGAAATAAACAGGTTGAAAGTAAAATTCCTTAGAAAATGTAATCTTAATATATATGATAGCACACTGGTCAGGAAAGAGACATAATTGTTATAATGAGAGAGTTTATCAAAAAGATAAGATAAATCTACTCTCCCAAAGAATGAGTTGTGAATTCATTTTTGTTACTGGTGAGCAATAACTTACAAAAAATGTGGAGATAGTTCAGTGGGACTATCAAAGTAAATATATACTTGCAGACAAAGATTTCTATCTTTGACTCTTAAGCAAAAGGTATACACAGGAGCTTTTCCAGTAAGGGATAATCGTGTAGCTTTGACTGTACCAGAGGTAGGTATGTTGGAGATAATTGTAGCAGATATTTTCATTCTCGAAGTTGGTTTCTAGCTCTAATGATAATAGGTTGATGTAGGAAGGATGGAGAAATAACATAAAAAATCTTTGAGATACTTTGATTGCAGTGGAAATAACATTAGTGATAATTGCAGAAGGCTGCTTTTTACTGTTGCAAGATAACACCAGTGCTTATGAGTTCTTTTTGTTCATCTGCTTTGTTCCATGATTTTTCTGAACATTTTAGATAATAGTTTATTAAACTATAGGTATATAAATTGCAATTCTTTTCCTCATAGATATCAACGAGTGTATGGTATTTGGAGCCTGCTCCCAACACTGCAATAATATTAAGGGATCATACAAATGTGCATGTGAGAAAAATTATAGGGAGAGGAATAACAGCTGCATAGCAAAAGGTAAGGCTATAAAAATCAAAATACAGGGATAGTACTAAATCATTTGTTATGAACATAGTTGGTAACACTAATGTGTTGCATATACAATTTATTTTTATATAAATATTTCTTGAATAGTACACAGAAATAATTCTGAAAACCACTCAGACTTACCTTTCCCTTCAGTAAGCAGTAAATTCTTACCACTTCCATGTATATAAGCATGTGTGATATGAAAGTCCATTTCCAACTCCATCTCTACTACATCTCTACAAAAAGATAAACACAAATAAGAAAAACAGAGATTATATATTGGCAAGCATGTAAGCATTTTGGTGAAGTTTCAGAAGCTTAAGAAGAAGAATCAACTCTTTCATAAAAACATGTTTTAGAAATTTAGAGATAAGTAGTATTTAGAGTTAATGTATTTTGTTTTGTCTTGTTGAGAAATCATATAGAAGTCATTTAAGTGGAATTTTTCTAAGTACAGTCACCTAAGAACATACTCCTCATATATATCAGCTGCCGAGATCATGATCCAGTGAAGGTGAAGAAGTATACACACAAAGGTTACTTCAGCCTTTCATAAGGCAGAGGTGTTGCACACAATAGAGGTAATAGTTAAGTCTAGGTATTAAGTAACTTGCAAATCATAATGAAACAGCTGCCTGAGTAAAGTTAAAATAATCTTTATGGATCTGCATCTGAATAACTGAAAATATAATAGTAGCATCTCACCTGAGTTGAGTGAGATTTTGATGTGAGTTTGACTTACACCTATGTTTGGAGTCTTCAGCGCAGAGCGAGTCTTGAAGTTAGAAGATACGGCTTCTTATATGTCTCTGTTCATAACTGGTGCACAACTATGAGTAGTACAGGATCTTAATCTTACGGTCAATAAGAACATATTGTGGACATTCATCCTAGAACTGTAATAGATTGTATCATGTTAAATTCAGTTCTTCCTTCTTTGTAGCACACCAGTCAGTAATGTAGGTATGCCCTTGCTGGGTAGTTAGATGGTGATAGTCAGGTTTCTCACATGCTTTGTTCACACTCTCTTGAATCAAACTTACCATGGGAAGATCATATCAGTTGAATCATTAGCAATTTCTTCTGTATAATGTGGACTTTATCAGGATTTAGGGTCATTGCCTATTACCACAAAAGCAGTCAGATTATGACATGGGAACAAACAAGATTATTAATTGTAGATAGTAGCTTGTTATTGTAGAAATACAGCCATAATTCTGAGAGGTTATAATTTAAAAATCTGGGAATCATTATCCCACATCTGAATTTTTCCCAACTTCATTTCCTTTGTAATACAGTTAATGCTTCCCTTTTCCCCTTCTTGATACTTGCTTTAATGGAACTCTTCTTTTTTCTTGTATTTAGCAGGAGTGAGGGAACAAATTATTTTTGATATTTCATACTCCTAAGGAGGAAATGTGTTGGACAGACGTTATTATAAGTTGATTATCTATGGATGAATGTGGTATAAATTGGAAAATTAAAAAATTGCAACTACATTTTAATAGATTCATCAGATTTGAAATTTTCTCAAAACTTAATAGTTACTGGAGAGCATTTTCTTATGAATAACATACTTTACAATATCTGAATCAAGATGCTATCTAGGTATCCATTAGTACCACCCATTCACAGCTATCCATAAATGTTCACAATCTGCAATATAAGAAGATATAAGGCACAACTGCATATGTTCTGTAGCAACTTTCAGCGAGTTTGCTCATATTGCAGTCAATTTCAAAATTTCACTGCCTTTACTAAATACAGGATCATTCAATTCCTGATTTCCAATTAAGCAATTTAAAATAATGTTCATTGGCAACTTTGTGTTCCTTTAAAAGATGCATATTTTGGACCCTTAGACACAATATGCATATAAAAACGTAGCAATTCATATGGGCTTAATGCATAATATCCCCTATTTTTGTATACTGTGTAAAGTGTTCCAATTATCATATACTCCTTAAAACATAGTCTTAGGTGTCACAGTGTGAACTTGTAGAGCACTGAAGTAATACATACCACATAGTATGAAGAGTTGTATTTATTGTCCAGAGTGTGAGTGTTTTTGCTGTCTTCATCAGAAAATAATTTTAACATAAGAAATTATAACAGAAATTATATGATAAACACCAAAAAGCTACTGAAGTGAAAACTACTTATTTTGCATTGCTTGATATTTACCTTAATTTTGTTTCATTACAATAATCCCTAGGCTCTGAAGATCAAATTCTCTATGTTGCTAATGACACTGACATCATGGGTTTTGCATATCCATTCAACTACAGTGATGTTCATCAGCAAATATCACATATTGAACATAATTCAAGGATAACTGGAATAGATGCATATTTTCAAGGGGACATAATTGTTTGGAGTACTCAGTTTAATCCAGGAGGGATTTTCTACAGAAAACTTCATGACAGAGAGAGAAGGCAAAGTAACAGCGGCTTGATAGTAAGTGATCAAAATCAATGATAACGTCATACAAATTTATTGCATTTTTCTTTTCTAATTGTCTATAATGTGCTCGTTAAAATGTCTATCTGAGAACAATTTTATTCAAATGGTATATGTGTCTTCTAAGGCATTTCCATTCAAGACTCTTGACAGACTTGGTTGAGTCTCTAAGAGAACACAACTGTAGTATTTAAAAAAGTTTTCCACAGAAAAATAACCAGTATGTGAGAAGCTTGGAAAGATTATACCATCAAGAGATGCTGTAATAGATGTATGTAAGCAACACATGGTTTAAAGAAAGGCATGAATTGCAAATGCTTGGAAGACAGAAAATGTAGATAGGCCAAAGACAAGCTTGATTTCTATAGGTGACCATATAAACAGTAATATTAGCAAAACTCTGACAAATGTTTAAAAATTGTAATGATACGTATTTGTTCCTTTATACGTTGAACTGTATAGTATCTTTATTATGAATAAACATAGATGTAATTTTGCACTTTACAACAGAAATGAATATTTTTATAACCTAGGGTATTTTCAGGTGGTCTTTACTTGAAAATAAATGCAGATTGATACTCATTTTGTCTAATATATTTCTACAAAATTCTCAAGGAAGTGTTAGTGTAGGTAGTGAAGATAACAATGTGATCATTCTTTACACTGATGTTTCTATAATGCTGTAAATTTAGGGGTTTTTTTTATTTCTTTTTTTCTTTTTTTACTTAAATGTGGTGGCAGAGGAGAGTTTTTAGGTTTTTCTTGGCCAGTAATAAACCAGGTTAGAAATAACACCTGTCTGGCTGTTTCCTTAAACTTAGGAGAGGTAGCAGTGTTGACCTTACATCACATGAATACTTTTATATCCCCAGTAGGATAAACAGCAGTAGACTGATCTTTCATCTATCATTCAACTCTTACACACTTGAAACTACTTCTAAGTACCTTTCATCCAAGGATATTTCCTTTGCAAACAGCTGACATTCCTGACCTTCGATGCCAGCAGGGCAAAAAGCCTGAGGATGTAGACAGCAATGGACACTGAAGATATCTTGTGTTTGTGATGGCATATATATGGGAAGACAGGTTAAAACCCAACACTTCCACTTGCCCAGCACAAGAAGGTCTAGATTTTGTAGACAGAAAGTGTATGGAAGTAAATCTAAAATAGAAAATTATTCCTAGCATGTCTAGTAGGTCAGATATGTAATTTGAGTTTTGGGGAAGGATACTTCAGTATGTATTGAAGTTTACTGTGACTTTTCTCATTGAAATGTACAGATACCTGTGCCTAAGAAATCCTGATAGACACATCTCTGTCAAGTTCATTATTAGAAAATAACGAACTTGTAAAGTCTTGTGAAATTGTAGTGGTGTGGGGGGTTGTTATGTATTTAATTTCTTTTTGGTTAATATGCACATGCCTTCTGCAAGAGTAAGGATGTGACACTGTCTCCCTGTTTAAACTAATAAAGATAAAATGTTCTTTGAATTACTATTATTTTTCTGAAGTACTGAAATACTTTCTGCTTTTTGTATCCCTGTTTCACTATTCACTTTCTAGTCACTTCATCTTAATTCAAAATTATTGGAAAAATTATGGGTTTCTTAGAAACCATTTTCCCTTTGTCAGTGCAGGTAGTTGCTCATGAATATGCTTGATCCAAGCCATACAAACCTTTTTTACAAATCTGTATGTAGAAAACGCACAGACTGTATCCGAATATGTCTTTGATAGATTTAATTTATATTTGTGAAACATTTATTTCTCATTGTGTTCAACTATTCAGGATATTTTCCCAGCATTCTGTCATTAATACTCAAATATTATTACCTTATATATATAACTGATCAGTGGGTTAATTGGTTTTGTAGCGTTGCTTTAATATTGTCACTTAGATTTGGTTTTGAAAAGCTTGAGAAGTCCTTAGTTTTAACCCAAGTTTTTTAATGGGTAAGTTTTCAAAGATTACATTATAACTTTTATATCTAGACTTTGATATGTAAATCAGGACAGCAAACTAGAGCAAAGTCACCTGCATTTTCAGGTAATTACATTAATGCAAAAATCCATCTCAACTGAAATTGCTCCATGGAATTAGCATATCAAGAGCCTTCCTCAAAGAGTAGCTTTAAATATCTCTTCTATTTTTCTGAAAAAGGGGTTTAAGCTTGGTACAAATTGAAGCATTAAAGGAAATAGTAAATATCAACTCTTCAGAGTTTATTGACAGATGCAGAAGAGGAATGCATTTTAATTGAGTTAAGATGGTATAAATGAATTGCTGATAACTGGTGAAGCTGTTTACTGGAATAATCCTTGGAGGGAGATATGTAAGTTATCTGAGGTGAATATTCAACACAGAATCACTTGCCGCTTGAACTCAAGTGCTGTTTTCATGGAAGAAGACATAAAGCTGAACTTTAAAATAATTGTATCATATAATGGGAAGAAAAACATAAGTTTTGTAATGTATCCAGTCAGTATGTTAGCAGCTTCCTCCAGTCCCAGTGTTTTGTGAGCTTAACAAGGACCCTTAACCACTCCTGTGCTATATTCACATGTATATTCACATTCGTCCCAGGGCCCAGTGTGTCACTATGAAAAGAACAATTTCTAGACTGCTTTCTCTATTTATCACTAATATGTGGTTTTATCTTAAAGCTATAGCTCTGTATGGATGAATTTTGTGTACTTAGGAGATCCTCTCTTTCTGGAATCTGCTGGTTGGGATTTTAAAATGATCCTACTAATGTGAAACAAATAATGGTTTCGTGAACCATTGCATCTACTGGGCTGTTCATCTCTTGAGGAAAATTTTCTGTTTCAGCGAGTAAAAGTCTCTAAGTTCTCTAGTATTATTGTTTCTCATTTATTTTTATTGTTCTAATAATGTATCATTAGATAATGTATTATTTTTAATGAGGGTATTTAAAGCAACAAAAAATCATTAGTTTATTGTTCCAGAGCAATGCCATACCAAAAATATCAATAAAGTAAATAGACAAAATATTGCTTAACATGTGCTTATGATATAAATTAGATTTGTAATTTAGTCTTCCTGTGTTAAAATGCTAAGCACTGCAAGATGATGGGTTCCTGCTGCATGTGTGACATGTTTTCTTCATTCAAACTCAAATTTTGGGGTTGAAAATATTCCTGTAATCTACTGTTATATCAACATGGTTCCCAAATCCAAGCTTCCTCTCCCCCCCGCTTTTGTTTCATTATAGTAAGCTTTTTTTCTTTTGCTTTTTTTAAAAAAAATCTTTATCTTTAAAACAGGTTTTACAATAGGTAGCAATTCTGACCAAAAGTCATCAGGCTGACACAGTCTGTAGTTATGCAGAGACTATAATATACCATAGCATAAAAGACAATTAGGCTTCAAACCCCTATTTTCCAATAAGTTATAGTACATTTTATTTAGCTTCAAAGTGGGCTAAAATAACTGTAGAAAATAGTAATGTGATTTTGTTCCTGTATCTTCATTCTTATTCTGTATGCAGAATCATTCTTCAAAATTAGCATAATCCAAATAAGCCATTAGGTAAAAGCTCATTTACAGTAAGTAATTTTCCTAGACAGTATGAAAAGATGCATAACACATCAGAAATATGATGTAGCTAGGCTGAAATTTAATGAACACAACTGAGAATTACACAGCCATAGCATCAGCTAGTGGTTTTTATTCTCTTTTTTTACATTTTACAACAGATGGCTCCTTTACATTTGTTCTGGTTATATCCTTGTTCGTTTGATCTTTAATATGCACCACAGCATTACTGGAATTTCACTTCTGTATAGTTGAGAAGAATGAAAAAGGTTCATTGTTAATAAGCAACCCAACCTTGTTCTGGAATCTCTTTAGGACACTTGTTTGTCTTATTTACTCATAGACCAGCTTTTGGGGAGCTATCTCTTACTCTGCATGGTAACTCCCATCATGTCCTTACCTGATACCAAAAAAAGTAGTTGTACTGTCAATAGTGGTTGTTTTACAGTCCACAGAAAAACAAGGGACTGTGCCATCCATGATAGCTGCTTTCCTTTTAGAATAATATTTGGTTCCTCCTTGTAGGCCAGTGTCATTAATCCTTTCAGTCTCCAGGTATGAGAGGGTTCTTGACACAAGTGCCTGAATATTATCCAGAATTAAGAGGAGTTTGGATTAAAAATACAATTGTGCTTATCTGCAAATACCTGCATTTTTTTGGTGTCTTGTCCTTTACATGAATGTTGCTTGGATAATGTAACCAAAAAAAAAAACAAAAAAAAAGTTTGTTGCATGCAAATACTATATTTCTCGGGGAAAAAAAAAAAAAAAAGGGTTTTTTTGTGGTATCTCTGGAACCATCTGCTGCAAATATCATAACAAAGAATTATGATATGCTATTTTGGTTAAAAAGTGACTATGATCCTGTTTATAAAGAAATACTGTTTTGTAAATGCAGTGGTTGATTTTGCTGCTTTAATACTCATCTAAGTAGAAAGTCAGGGTTCTGTATATCTTTACAGTATGCATCCTGAGACATTTTTGCAGAATAAAGGTTTATGAACAATGAAGTATCTAAATTCACCTTTGCAGTTCTATTATTTCACCTAGAGAATGAAATGACCTTTATGCTATGATTAAAATAGTCTACAAATGTCTTGCAGTATTAGGGAACTCTGGCACCTGAAGAAAACAAGTTATTATAGGATTTCTTCCCTGATTTTTAGTTACATAGCTTAGTAGCATTCCATTACTACATTTGCCAAGTAATAGACAGTTTTGTTCATGATTTAACTTGATGTTGTTCTAGGTAAACAGGCAAACAATTGCATATATATTTAATTCATGCAGGTCTTGAATTTTTTCTTATTCCGCATTCATGTTAGAAATAGTTGGGTAGTCCTATTTTACAGATTTTACTCCTCTACAGGAATTCTACTAAACTTGAGAAACTTGTTTATGTATATATTTCCTATTTGCAATACGAACTTTATCCATAGGACCAGTTTTTAGGATAAAGAACCGTAATGATAACTGTGAAATCATGACAGAGGTACCACGGTTCGTAATTTTGAAGTTATAATCAGTCAAGCCTCTTTTACATGTGAAGCTGAATATTGCACTAAATAGTTTCATTCAGTGGTGGAACATGGGAACAGTTAGCAGCAAGGGAAGAGAAGTAAAAAATTCCATTTAATTGCATACTAGTATTGGTCAGAATACAGGGGTACTTCTGTGCAGTTTTCTAAATGCAGTCATTTTATTTACTCTTGGCAGACTGCTAAGCAGCTGTACCTCAGGATGATCTCAAGCACCATTTTTACTGAAGGCTTTAGAATGGGACATTATAGCGTAGTTCTGCTTGGAGTATAATAGCTATATAACCTTAATTCTTCATTTTCCTTTCTTTTGAGCTACAGTATGTAACATTTATTTGCTTCACTATCAGTAGTTCAAGTCGTTCATGCCTAAGTGCTTTTTTCTTAATGTAGGTAGCCTTAGACTTGAGAATACTGTTTTAAAACAGCAACTTGTTTTTCTGCATTGAATAGAACTGTCAGCAGATCACTTACAGCTTATTTCCTACAGCTAGAATTTATGTCTTTCCAATGCAGCATTTTAGGATATTTCACCACATTAAATATAAAAGTTACTTAACTGTAAAAAGTTACATAAATCTGTAACTTTGCAGCTGCTGTGAAAGATCATTTCCATAAATCTAACTTAAACATCTGTTCCTTTTAGTGTCCAGAATTCAAAAGACCCAGGGGTATTGCTGTTGACTGGGTTGCAGGAAATATTTACTGGACTGATCATTCCAGAATGCATTGGTTCAGCTATTATACAACTCATTGGACTAGTCTGAGATACTCCATCAATGTAGGTCAATTGAATGGACCAAACTGTACAAGACTCCTTACAAGCATGGCAGGAGAACCATATGCAATTGCTGTAAATCCTAAAAAGGGGTATGTATATGTCAACATTACTCTCTTTTGGCAATTCAAACAGAAATGCAAAGTCAAGTAAGGCAAATAAAACTATGTCTACAAATGTCTAAACTTTTCCAAATCATTTAATTAACTTTCCTGCTCAATGTACCTGTATGTAAACCAGAATCAGTTCTCTCCCATCTTTCAGGTAGGTTGAAAGGCTGATGATAATTTCGTATCAGTGAAGCATTATGAGTTTCTCCATAGGCATCCTGCTTACTTTTTTATGTTTAATACTTTCAGAATGATGTACTGGACAGTTATTGGGGATCGCTCTCACATAGAGGAATCATCCATGGATGGTACTCTGAGAAGGATATTGGTTCAAAAGAATTTACAAAGACCTACAGGTATACAACTTACCCATTTTTCTTAATTACATGGCACTTCCTAACTCATGTAGATTTGTTGGCTGAATTCCGGTTTCTCCATTTGCAAAAAAAAAAAACCCAAACCTTTTAAAAATATGTATTCTGGTTATTCATAGGCAGTTACTAATCAAATTCTTACCTCTCTTTTCAAATGATACATCTTAATATGACTTGACCTTTCATACAAAGTTTAATACAATGATTTTACAAAGTGATAGATACCAAAGGACTACATATAATCAGTTACAATATGATTTGTTCAATAACACTGAACAAGCGGAGTCAATTAAAGGAACACCAATTAGTGGTGAGACACATTTTTTAAGAATGTGTTTGAAATCTCACAGCCTTTTCTAGTTACTTTCCTGAATACATTGCAAAATGGTAGGAAACAAGGTTTAGGTATTCACAGAAGCAACAAGTTAATTATCTCCATGTTTTACCAAACTATTTTGAAGCTTGACAGTGCATGTTGAGAACTCATGAATTACCGTTAAGACTTCATTGACAGGATAAAAGTAATTTATATGACAAAGGAAATGATAAATCCAGAACGAAATATGTCTTTCCTAAATAGCAGCATCCTACCTTGAAACTACAACTGATTTGATCATGACCCATCTATACTGCAGTATTTGATAGGCTTACAATGATAATTTGTTGTCCAACTTTGGTATGCATATTTGTTGAAACATAGTCTTCTTTCAGGAGGATGCTGTCTGAATATCTGAGTGTCTCAGAAACTGCCATTGTCACAGCAACAAGTAATAATATTTTAACATCAGTCAAGTTCCATGCTAAGGTTGGCTTAAGGTGTTGTGTATGCAAATTTATCCTAATCCCTTAAAGGGGATTATTGACATTCTTTATTGACATGATTAGACTAAAATATAGCAACTTAAGAAATTACATATGTGTTAAAAGCTTTGAAGATAGGAAACCTAAGCTCCTTAGGTAAGTAAGAAGCACAATAGTAATCATAATAAAAACACATAATAGTAAATTCAGTAAGACACTTCTGATTATTAAAACTGAAAGACAACAGAAATTTATGTTAATCAGAGTTGTTACATATTTTTTGCTGAAGTTTTTATATAAAACATTCTGAACATATCAGATATACAGATCATGAGATTTAGTTCTAATTGCTGGGATTGGGGTTTTTTTGGCTCTTATTATTAGTTTAGTTGATTACCAAGGTTATGTCCTACAGAGCCAGCCATCACTTTCTTGAACATAAAAGGGCATTCGAACATTTCCACCCCACTTTTTTTTTTTTTTTTTGGCTATCAGTATTGAATTAGTGAATTTACTGAATTTTGTAGGTAGGTAATAATGGTATCAAACTTATCTGAAAACCCGTACCAGAAGCAGACATGAAAAAGCTTTTCTTCATAAAATTTTCTTTCATATATTTTACACAGCAATGTTTCGCATAAACATTTAGCCAGACCTCTGCCTCCTTACAAGGATGAATAAAATGAAGATTAAGAAAATTAGCAGAGTTACCAAAAATGAGCAGTCTTTGCAAAGAGGGAATTTTAGAAACACCTTGTGACAATATTGCGTTTTCCTATGCCTTCTGCCTGAAAACACAGTTGTGAATCCTTCTGTGCTTTTCTTCTGTTACTTCATGGTAGAAAGCAGACATTTATGGAGTTGTTGGGGTTTTTTTGTACATTTTACACAGGTCCATGTATTTGTAAACCAAATGCAAAGTCTTTAATATTTCCTCCCAAATGAGACTTTACTACTATTGTTTAGATGAATTTTAAGATTTTTACTAAACAGCTATGTTCCACTACTCTTGAATTTATTACTAAATATACCTTTTGTATTTCAAGTAAGAGAGGCTGAGAGTTTGAGCATTTGGGCTTGACTTCACAGGATCTACATTGTAACAGCTATCACAGGACTGCTATATGTATAAAACAAAAAATAACTACTTTTTTACATTGTTATCTCTGATACTGTGAAAGATGTATTGAGAATGTTACTTATTTGTTATTTGAGATTTAAATATTCTTATTGAAATGCGAAGAATAATTTAAAGCTGGAGAGTAGGGACCGCTTCTAAAATACTCTCCCTTATAGGTACCACGTATCACACAGAGTTGACACCTTGTAATTATCTTTTAGCAGAAATTATTCTCTTTAGCTGTATGCCTGAATACCAGTGTTTCTTTTAAAGAGGGTGTTGATTTTTTTTTTTTTAATGGAGTTGCAAATGTAAACATATTTCACTGGTCTATGCATCAGACTTCCTCTCATTTATCTGTGGCTGATTAATTTATGAACTTAAGAGGAATATTTTTGCTATTATTTATAATTTCTTTTGATGTAGTTTTTCTGACTTAGCTACTTACATAAATAGAAGGATACTTTTTCCCATTCTTATTAAAAATACACCATGACTTCAAAAGCTCAGTATTAAATTATTTTATGGTTCCAGTATTTTTTCAGGCTGAAACTTTTGAGATTACCTAAAATGGCATATTAATCTTGTAATCATCCACTATGAAACATAGACTGTCTGATTTAACTATTTAGTTACTGTCTGGAGGCTGGGTAGTCATGTTATCTGCTATTCTCATTTGAGCTCTGTCACCCTTGTGCTTTCTTTTCATATTTGTGTGAATATATACATCTGTCAACACTGCTGTTTAAGTCTTGCAGCATTAACATAATTAAAATAGTTTGATTTTTAATTCCCATACTAATCACTGCTTGTGAAGTATTGATTGTTAGAAACCCCACAATTATATACTTGTGGAAATGGGATAGGTTAGGAAGGCTGTATGAAATCTGGATGACTTGCTTTTAATGCATTGTCAAACTGGTGCTACTGCTTAGAAATCTATTGTCATAATAAATTTTTTTGTTGGTAAAGCAAATTACCAGATTAGATTCTATGTTTACTTCTCACCTGGTATATATTTCTACCTCCTGAGGATGATGGGTTTGAAAAGGTACTGACCTTGGAAGAGTAAGTTAAAGAAAGTGAAAAACCACAGTTGCTTCAAGGGGAAGGTTTAAGCAGCAGGTATTAAATTTTGTTGTTCTTTATTTGAAGTCATGTCTTCGTTGTCACCACATTTTGTGTTCTTAAGAATATGAATAGCATAAAAATGTACACTTATATAAAGTATTATTTGTTTTTCAGGTTTTATATACTGATTTGATATTTTTTTCTTTGTAGGTCTCGTAGTTGATCAGTTCAGTCAGCGTTTGTTCTGGGCTGATTTTGAATTATCTGTTATTGGCAGCGTTCTGTTTGATGGTTCTGATTCAGTTGTGTCTGTGAGCACTAAACAAGGTATGGATAGCTTTTCTATAACATGATTTCTATTTTATTTTATTTGGATGAAATTTCACTATTCGGAGAAACTATGTAAGCAAAAAGCAGTGATGATTAAGTAATATTCATTGCTTTTGTTAGATAATATTTCAGATATTATCTAATCAAATAGATACTTAAGGTAGGATAATTTTAGCTTTAAAATAATCTGATTAAGTTACTTTATGGAAACAAATATTCAGTGATAAGTGCAAAGTTTGTTATCTAATATGATATCTTAAGTATTACCAAATAACATTGTGATTAATATTTAAGCTTGGCTTCACTTGGACTTGAATAGAAACAGGAGCACTTTGACTAGTTAGAAATTGGAGCTGTCTGTATTGCACAGGAATTGTATAATTTATAGAAAGTGGACCTGTATAAGTTCTCAGAAAAATAATGGGTTTGGCTTTCAGGTCAGCAAGTAATCACAGAATTCTGCTAGCAGAATGTGAATGAAGAAAGTTCTTTTCATAAGAAAAGAGATTCTGCTTAAGCAAACGTTGGTTTTTATAGAATTCCATGTTGGCTTTTCAACGATTTGATAATATATGTAATAATTTAGTAAATTTGAGTTGAAAAGAGAGGAAACATTAAAAAAAATAAATTTGAAAGCAGACTTTTTTCAGAGGATTGCTTCGTCGGCTGTTGGTACGGAGATTCATCAGGATGATATTACATTTAGTGCTAGTGAGTGTTTTAACTAATCTGGAATTCACCAGGGATTTCTGAAAGATACTAGGACAAAATCTGCCATAATCCAAACTGAGCAGGATGAGATTTAAATCATCTTACTCCAGTTTAATACCATTTTATTTTACAACTTGGATTAATGTACATGGAAATAGTCATCTCAAGAAGGATCACTTTGGGTGCAGGGATCTGACTAAAACTTCCTCTAACACTGAACCATTCTGTACAGGTGCCTGACAAGAGATTGTAGAAGAGAGTAACTCCTCCTTGTAACGTTGCTTGCACCTCCTTTGGTTATAGTATTCCATGGTGGCTTTGCTGAAATCTATCACAAAACACACATTTAGTACTCGTGTTCAGTGTTTGTGTCTGGTACAAAGATTGACAGAGTAGTAGATTGTGCTTTAATCTGTGTCAGTAGTAATTTTTATTTTAAGAATAAACGGGAGGTTATTCTTCAAGAGAAAGGAAAAAAAACCCATGAAGCAGTGCTACAGAATAGAATGCATTTAAATTGATGACTTTCGAACTATTCTATACCATGAAGGGGTTTTGTTGTTTTGGGTTTTTTTAATAGCACAAAGGGCTGCCAAACACAGCAAATTTGGGGTTTATAAAAGGGAAATTGGAATGTAGAGACTTTGTTGCTTCCATACCTAGCATTTAATACTGAAATTCACGATAACTAAAGCAACGTTTCCTGTTGACCTTTCTAGTAATTATGGAAAAAATAGGACAAAAGGAAAATTGGGGGAGTTTAGAACTTGCTTAGCAATGAGACTAAACACTGCAACCCATTTAATTAAAAATGCATAAAATAATGAATTAGAATTCATAAATATTTTCTTATCGAGTACCAAGTATTGATAAATTGGAAAACAGTAGGAACAAATAAAGGCTGATAATTGAAACTGAATGAATACAAGTAAAATATAAAACCATTTTTACAGTAAATGGAGATAATAGTAGAAACAAGGTGTCACAGGGAATGATAGATTCTGTTACTTTATAATTTCAAATCAAGAAAAGATACATCTCTGGCAAAGACGCTTTAGTCAGAAGCTATTCCCTAGCTATGTGTGTAAACGTTTGAATTTCCACAGCCAGTTGTGCATAGGAAATCCATCTATGTGATCTGATTAGCACTTGTAGCTCTTAAAAATGAGGAACTGGTAGAGTCTTAACATTTTATTTTGCATTAATTTACAATAATTATGAATTAAAATAAGTATAACATGAAAGCTAACATTTGAAATATATTAAGAAGGAGCTTGAGAAATGTTTTGTCAGAATAGATTCTTTAATGTACAGCAAAATAATCTATTTCTTCCATGCATACTTCTAGTTAAAGCGTGGTACCTAAGTACAGTCTCATTAGCTAATTTTTACTGTAGATTTTCCCTGCTGTTCAATAATCAACTGGTTTCTGAGGCTGAATTGTGTAGAAAGCTAATACAAAGCTTGAGATTTCAGTTGTAGTATGGGAAGTGTTCCTTTTAAACAGACTGGTTTTTTAAAGGCAGTCTCTGTGGGTACAAAACAAGCTGTCTGAATAATGATGTCTTTTGGGTGGTAATTGCAGTAATGCAATTGAAGTTGTTATTATTAAACCCAAGTTGTTTATCATTTGAATATGTATTTGTATTTATTATTCATTTTTATTTAAGGTTTACTGCATCCACATAGAATTGACATTTTTGAGGATTACATATATGGAGCAGGTCCTAAAAATGGTGCATTTAGAGTACACAAATTTGGCAGGAGCCTTGTAGAATATCTAAGTGTGGATGTTGATAAAGCAAAAAGTGCCTTGATTTTTCACCGCTACAAACAAATGGACTGTGAGTAAGCATAATTAATTTAAACTCAATATTGAACAAGTTCACCTTGGGGATGTGGGAGCAGGAGGAAGTAACCAAGTTGTATAAATATAAAACAGAAACTGATTGTACAAAGCGGAAGTAGATTTCGTAATTTCTTTAGATTTCATTTATTAGATTTCTTTATATAATTTTGATTTAGATTTTTTTGATGCATTTTCTCTCATTTGAAAGGACATTGGACAAATGTTTGCTGAATACAACGAGTACCTCTAGCCACAATTAGATGAGGTTTTTTTACTACTTATCACCAATACATTTTTTGTTACTGGAATAAATTTTATCCTTGTATGCGTCTTGCACTGCCAGTTAAATGAGTGTGCTCACTGACTTCAGGCTCTTGATATCCTGGTAATTAGAAGTGTATCAGAATGTCTGAATCTGATTAATTTTTTTTTTTCCTACTTCTAGAACACAGTGTAATTCTAAATGAAGAATAAGTATTTTTAATATTTTGTGTTTTTAAACAGTGCCAAATCCATGCTTGGACCTTACATGTGAATTCATTTGTTTACTCAACCCTTCTGGTGCAACATGTGCTTGTCCAGAAGGAAAATCACTGCTGAATGGAACATGCATTGATCAGAGCCTCTTAGGTAGGTATTGGAAACTGCATGAGAACCAGAAAATAAACAAATGGTCACTTTTTCTCACTGCAAAAGACTAGGCTGTCAGTGAGTCAAGAGATACCTGATGCAATATGATGTTTAAAGGGGAATGTGAATATAAATAGATCAACAGAAACGTGAAAAGCTCTGAAGTGGTTTGGATTCCAAATTAAACATTAGCCATTCAGAAGAAAAAAATAACCTTAAAGACTGTGAAGAAACACCTCTGCTTAGACTGCAGCAATAGTCAAAAGACAGTAAGAGCAACATGGCAAATAATGACGACTTTGAAGTAACTGGCAAAAAAAGAAAAAACAACTGAAATATTTTTATCTAAAATTGTATCTTTCAGTAAGATTTATAATGACTAATATCAAGACACATGAAAGAAGACCTCATTGTGAAAAAGCTACTAAGTTCTTGATTTGAGGGCATGTGGCGGGGGCGAGGGGTGGGGGAAGAATCTTCTTTTCCAAAGAGATTATTAAATAGTCTAAAACTCTTCCCACTCTAATTGAGGCCAAGCCTAAGGTGTTCAGACTGCTGGAAAGGATTCTTAGTGAGCTTGAATTTTAAAGGGTTCTAGAAATCATGGAATAGGATTTCTTACATGTATGAGAAGTCAGAATGTAGTAGGATGTTTTTCTAATATTTAATTCCAGGCTTAGGAGTATAAGGAATACATTTTTTAATGAGATCCTCAGTATTTAAAAAGCTCAATTTAGTGATTAATTTAATTTACCTGAAATTTCAATATTCTTTGGAGAAAATCTCACCTATTTATACTGCCTGGTCTTTAAATCTTGAATTAACTCTACTCTGATTTAGTGGTTTGTGATGATTAATGAAATAAAACTCTCCTGTCCAGCAGCATTCCTCTTTCTCAGGAAATTTAGGAATATTTTAGAGAGTAAAACAATATCAGAAAATTTGTACTAGGTAACAAACCCATTCATGTTTTTTGCTTATGTAGGAGTACATTGTATGGAATGTATTTATGGTACCAACCCAGCTTTTACATGTACTGTACTGTGCTCTGTCAAAAATAGAGGAAATAAAGCTTTATTACTGTGCACCCTTCACTGAATACCTATCAATGCACATATATATAATAGTTATGCAATTATTTAAAGTAGTTTACAGCTGGTTTGCAACAATTTCCACTGTTAGGGTAGAAGTGATGACACTGAAGTAGACGTAATAGAAAACACTAGTATACGTTTCTAAAAAGGTTTCTAACTCTTGAGACAAATTAGTCTCAACACTTTCTGTCTTCAAAGAACATCCCACCTCTCTGCCCCTCCAAGTGTCAAGTCTTGGTTCATCTGAGATGGATTCTTGTCAAGATTTTCTACTGATACCACCTAATACTCCAAATTGCCCATAGTTACTATTTCAGTGTTGAAGAAAGGACAAATAGAAGAATATTGTTTTTCACTGGTGATTGGTAGTGATTTGAACCCACCATTTCACTAATGCTACATATTTACTAGTGGGGCAAAGTATTAGGTGATTGTAGAGTGTTCAGGAACTTATGTTTTTATTAAAGATCTAAAGAGGCTTTTAAATTATTTTCACTGCTGGTTGTGAATTTTTACGGATAGACAGAAAATGCCTAGAGAAGCATTTTTAATATATTGCTAAATTTCAGTATTGTCCCACAACTGCAATATCTGTTATACCTATTTAAAGGGCTGCTGAAATAGTGTTTCTTATTTTTCCGATTCCAATTATATTTCAAGTAGGTTGCTAATAACCTGCAAACAAAAGTCAAGTTCTAAACCAGGTTCTTTTCCTTTAGGAGTTTATACAGTATGGAATAATTAAAAAAAAAAAAAAAAGAGCCATAGTCTTCGTTTCATTTTCTTAGAAAGTGCTAGAAAATGTATATTAAATATTCCAAGCCATATTCGTTCAGCTTGTTTTAATCTAGCATTATATTGTGTTCATTGTCTTAGAGCATTTTTGGCACAGTTATGGATGTCAGTAACCAAAACCAGGAATTCCTGCTTTATATGGCTGTCAAAAGCTGTATATTGTAGAAGACTTACCTTACAATCCAAAGGGAGGTTATATAGGTGGTTTTTTTTGTTTGCTTGCAGTAAAATAGTGATTCAGAGTCAATTTAAATATTCCTGTTGATTTTGCTTGTCTTCTGGTTTGTCTTTAAAAGAATGAAACGCAGAAATTTTGATTTGAGACCTGAGGATCTGTGAAACACTTTTTAACTGATATATTAATTTGGCTTTGTAGGTGGATTTATCATAATTTATCCACTTACTTGTATAGTAGATAGGTTACAATAATTTACATACAGTGTATGTTATGTGTTCAAAAATTTACTACCGCTAATATACACATCTGAAAACTCAAACTCTCTAACTCTCTTTCAGTGGACGTCATTTGTGTAGCAATAAAAGTGAGCTGTACTGGTTGTTTTTGCACAATAGCTATTTCAAGTCCTGTAAGAAGACTTCTAATGTCACAAATGAGTAGTAATTGTGGATATCAAGAACTAGTGTGACTAAATTGTACTTTCTGAATAATATATAATTCAAGTTACAATAGTAAACAGTAGTATACTGAACATTTGTAATACTTTATAGTGTCTTTTAAATGGTTTGGGTCTTAAAATGTAGTAAGGAAACTAGTAGTAGATTTCCATTACTTGACAGAGTCAAAATGGGACATCCATCTCCACTTCCCATTCATCATGAATAGTGCCCCCAGGACAGTCTATGTTTGAAGATCTGTTTTGACAATGCATATGTCTCTATCCTTTTGAAAAATGCTTTCAAACAAATAATAATTATTTTCAACATTATTATGACATTCTTCATTTTGGTAGTTTTTGCATGACTATTGTAAAGACATGCTTCATACAATTTCTTATTACTCTGTCTACCTTTAGGTTGGTGACTAGGAGGTAATCTCTCTTGCTGTTTTTCTTTAGACTGTATCCCAAAAAATTACTCAGTCTTGTTCATGGGATTGTTGTGGGGGTCATGGTAGGGTGGCAGTTAAAGAAAGAAAACTGAGCTAAATCTTGAAATTCTGCATAATGTTACCACTGGCTCGATCCATTGAGTTATTTTTCTTCATAAGTCCTAGATGAGGAATTCTAATTATCCAATCCTCAGGGGGCTTTCTGTAAGACTGAATTCAGATTTCTTCTGTTTCACCAGCATCTCACGCAACTGCTGAGAAACAGCTTTTGGGTTTTATTTGGCTTTATCAAGCAAGACTTATCACAACATGTATGTTGTATCATTCAGAATGTTTTTATAATAAAATGAAAGCAAGTTCCTGTGTGTTCTTAGACAAACTTCCATCCCATTTCTCCTTGGATGATTATGATTGACAAAACATAGTTCACTTATGTTTTATTTATTAACTGTAGCAGCCCTGACTTTCTCAGTTTAGAAGATACCTTTTAGTTTCAAATGGGTAGAGTACTACTTCATTTTCCTAAGAGAGACCACTGAATTTGCATCCGTTAGAGTTACTGTATCTAATTGTCTGTTACACAATGAAAGTTAAAAACGTACCAAGAGGATGAAAATAGACATGTACTGGAGGAAGACGGTGTGTGCCACAGCTGAGTGAGCAAAAGTAATGAACACTTCCAAGAGTTCCGTATTCCAGAGCTGCATGTTTATCACTTTTCATTTTAAGAGGGAATATTTGTGCTCTCGTGGCTGAATGAAAAGCCTAAGAAAAATTCCAAAGACTCCAATCTGACGTTGCTTATGAAAAGAGAAGAAACATTTAATTTATCACAAGTGTTTCCTACAGCACATTTCTATGGGGACTTGCATAGTGCACACTTAGATGGCAGACCAGGTGCTTTGGCTAGGGATGTAGAGGTTAATCGTTGTATACCTTCTTTTTCACCCACAAAGTCTGCCTCAGGGAGTTGTACTGGCAGAAGCTATGGCAGGTCAATCGATGCTCTCTTCTTGGGTTTTCTCCTGCTTTCAGTCTTTTTAGACATCAAATAGAACAGGCTTCACACAGAAATCTGCTTCTGGTTTGGAAAAAATCTTTTGTTTACAGCAGTATCTTCTGTATTTACAAAAGGGTTACCATTGGGACTGATAATTTCCCAGAACAGAAGAAAATGGGTTACATTGCAGCAGGAGTTGGTTAGTTTTTCTCTCTGTCCATCCTTTCCTTAGCCCTTCTCTTCCATTTACCTTTGTAAAGCGAACAGATTTTTTAAAGAAAACAAACGTGAAGGGAGAACAAAGAGGATGATTTTAGAGCATTCAGACAAAATTTGGGATTATACCTTGTTCTAATAAATTTCAGCATATGGAAAACTGGCAGATATTAAGATCCTCATATGGAGGGACAAGAAGATTTATACAATCTTAATGTAACATTAGAACTCTGCATTTGGAAGGATGACCTACACCCTAGTCTGAAGCATAGGCAAGAACAAGTATCTGTCTGTCCCATGAGTTGAGTTTTTTCCACTGTTGGGAGGGAAACTGTTCTTGTCCTAAAGAATGTAGTTCACAAACCTTGTACTCTGTAATGTCATCTCTCCATTTAACTGCCTAGTCCAGAAATGGTGGATATTTCAAAGGGAAAAAAGAATCAAAAAGTAAGATTCATTTTTCTCAAGAAAGGGTTGTTACAGAAATGCCAATAAAAGATGTGTGTTTGTGTGATTGGAGGGATAGGGATGGAATATCAAAAAACTGAGTGAAGAAGAAAATACCAGTAGAGTTCACAATGCGTTCTTTGTAAGACTTCCCTTTACTTTCAGTTAAAGTAAGGAGTCAGAGGTGGAGCAGAAGTCCGTTAATGATTGTGTCAAACAGTCATATCAAGAAGAAAAACTGCAAATCAAAGCTATTTGATTCTTTATTGAAGATATATTAAGATCAAAATAGGCAAATTAAGGCAGCTGAAGACTACATAGCCAGGGTAGGAGAGAATACATGACCTATGCCCTATCCTTCCTTTCATGTTAGCACTATCAATCAATCAAGTAGCTTGGAGTAGACTAGGAGACTAGATCCAGTAGACTAGGAGTGGGATAACAAGTGAAATGATTTACTGCTGTAATTGCAGAAGTGAAGAGTAGCTGAGGGGTGTTTGAATCCAAGTTCCAGCAAGCTCAGAGAAGTATTAGATTGACTCCAGATTGAAACTTTCTGAATTTATTTATTTTTAAACTTTGTTCCAAGATTGGGTACTTACTAGAGCTGTTCCGACCTCTTGCAGAGAGAGGTCTTTATTCAGTAATTCACATTGAGAGTATGCACCTTTTTCTAACAATTCTTCTGTGGTTTTCTCCTGTATTATTATTCTGCTCATGTCTCCCATACAGAGGTACCTGCTCCTTTTTTGTACTTAGTTGATGTGAATCAGCAAGAGTAATTTGATTCTTGTATTTACCTTCAGACAACAAAGCAGCAGCATTAAAACCCCTATATTGTTAAAAGTTTACCATAGTATTTTAAAACTGGCTTATCTATTAAATCTTTCAGTCCTACTTCTTAGCTTATTTAGACTCCAGAATTGTTGTAATAACTTTTCTCTGTTTCATGTTAGATTTGTGTTGAAACTCTTGAATTTAAAATGTTTTACAGAGAACAAAATCAAAGACAATTTTTAATAATCTTACAATGACAGAAAATATAAAAAACTTTTGTATTTTTTCAGGAACCTTCTCACTTGACAGTTATGTTAAGTTATAACATATATTGCATTTTAAAAGTATGACACGAGTGTCCCAATCTTTTAAAGCCAGTTTGATTAGAAAATAGTTACTGTGGGCCATTTTTGCCTCAGTATATTTTCCTGAAAATATGAAGGCATGTATTTCTTGGTGTGGTTAGGGTAACTTTAAAGTTTGTGGTTCATGTTTTATACTTCTAAATATGCTTTTTGATTACTCTATTTATCTCTTGAAGTCATAGCCTGTCATAATTTCCTCGTTTCTTTCTAATTTCATATCTTAATTCTACAGAATTGATCTAGAAAAGAAATATCATGGGGGGTTTTTATGTGCTATCAGAAAGTTTCTTAAAAATGAGCACTTATCAGTACTTTAGTGTTATTTATCCCATCTTTAACAAGTTGTGCTCTGTACATTCATGACTAATGATAAGTAAAACAGATAATCAAAAGAAAAATAAACCTTCTCTCCAATAAGTTATGTTACATTATCTATTTAAGCAACTACTATAATCATAGAATCATGGAACAGTTAGGGTTGGAAAGGACCTTAAGATCATCTAGTTCCAACCCCCCTGCCATGAGCAGGGACATCACACAATAAACTATGTTGTCCAAGGCTCTGTCCAGGCTGGCCTTGAACACCGCCAGGGATGGAGCATTCACAACTTTCTTGGGCAACCCATTCCAGTGCCTCACCACCCTCACTGTGAAGAACTTCTTCCTTATATCTAACCTAAAGTTCCCCTGTTTAAGTTTAAAGCCATTATCCCTTGTCCTACCACTAGAGTCCCTAACGAAGAGTCCCTCCCCAGCATCCTTATAGGCCCCCTTCAGATACTGGAAGGCTGCTGTAAGGCCTCCACGCAGCCTTCTCTTCTCCAGGCTGAATAGCCCCAACTTTCTCAGCCTGTCTTCATAATGAGTAACTGAAGAATGGTTCATGGAACATCAAAGAATTTAATGAACCACCTAAATAAATAAATAAAACACTGAGGCATCCTGAAACTCCCAAATACAAAGTAGCTTTGTTACAGCACATGTACATATGCAGAGTGGATATCGAAAAATTAAACACATACAGTATTTCATTTTTTTGTTGTAAAACACCTGAAATAATCATGTGCCAGTCAGCCCACCACAATAATTTTTAGATTTCTTGTTTAGTTTCAGCTTAATTTGAGAGGTGCGATTGCCTGAAAGATGATGATCAGTTTCCAGAGGTTTTGTTTAAATAGGTTTGATCCCAGGTTACATGTCTGCACTATCTCGGAGCTGGCTGTGAATGGAGGCAGCTAGACCCTGCCAACAAGGGGTATATGCAGGCAGGAAAGAGAAACTGTATCCAACGTTCCTAAATTTTGCATTTGCAATACAATGTATTTCTTTAACTATCAAGGAATTGGTGTGCCTGTGTCAGTCAATGTTAGACCTCAACAAATATGGGACAAATGGGAACCTTGGCTCTTTTCTATTAGTCATTTAACTAAAACAGGGTAATTCGGCAAAACATCTGCAGCTGTTGGATATATTACTGAAGAGTTCTTAGTGTTTGTGGTGTCCCTTTTATTGAAAGCCATGTATGCTCAAATGCTGAATTAGGAAGCAGTCTGGCTTCTCAGGATTTGTTTTGCTGTGCGAGAAATGAAAGGTCTTGTTGCTAAAAATATGTTTTGGGCTGGAAAGATGCTTGTCTATTTCCTTAGGATTACAGTTATTTGGATGTTTGAGCATTGTGTGCATGCTAGTCTATAATTAATTTCATGTTGGTGTCATTGAATGGATTTTATATCTTGTTCACTGAAATGAGTAGAGATTTATTTTTCAAAGTGTTTCCAAGACAGGCACAATTCTAGTTGCAAAACAGTTTCATAGAGAGATTGAATCTGGCCTAATCAGAATTTGTGTCACCTCGTACCTCACAGCTAAGACAGTAGCACTGCTGCCATAAACACTCAGTGAATGCAGAGCATGAGGGAGCATCTCAGTGATTTTGCAGACTTAGCAGATGAGAAAAATAAATCAGAAAATATAATTTAGAAGCAACAAGTTATTACGAAACTGTAATTTTTTTAAGGAGGATTTAAAGGCTGAATAATTTTCTTTTAAATATTTTGGATAGGGTTTTGTTAAGAAGTGTGTTACTTAATAGAGACAGTGGAAGAGGGATCAAATAAATAAAATAGAAAAAGGCTGAGGTCACCAGAAAATGACTGGGGAGATTTCTGAGATCCCTCGGGTGAAACCAACATTCATTTTTTCATTTCTGTAACTTGGAATGACAGTTTCAAACCGGAGTTCAGGTAGTCATTACTAACTTACATCCTAAGGAGCTCACCTTTTCTGGGACATGATTTGGATGAAGGCCAGGTTGGAGAGGGCTGTGAGCAACCTGACCTAGCAGAAGGTCCCTGCCCATGGCAGGGGGATTGGAACTAGATGATCTTTAAGGTTCCTTCCAACCTAAATCATTCCACGATTCTGTGAAGCATAAGTACCATGCAGAGGCCCTCATTTTGGTAAGGTGCAAGGTCCCAGCCCTGCTGTACAAGGTAGCACAGCCCCCACTGCCTGTAGCTTTTGATAGCCTTTCCAGTGCTTATGGTCTCCTAAATGTATACTTTTTTTTCTAGCACAGTAGAAACAGAAGAGATAGTTTATTTTTTCCATTTTAAAAGTGATTCCCCTCTGCTCCATTGACAGAGATCATTTAAGATGCAAGGTTCTGTTTTGCCTGTTACATGAAATTGGATTGTTGAAAACAACTCTATGTGTTCTTGCTGCAGATGATACCTGTAAATTAACCTGTGAAAACGGAGGAAAGTGCATTATAAACGAGAAGGGGGATCCCCGATGTCACTGCTGGCCAAGTTACTCTGGTGAAAAGTGTGAAACTAATCATTGCTACAATTATTGCCAGAATGGAGGAACTTGTGGAGCATCTCTCCTAGGTAAATATTTCTTAGCAGCTCTATTTTCCTGTTATACCTGCCTTAATTAAAATGTTTGAATTTGTTCCTTGTTTGTGATATTTTTTTCTTTCTGTAACTTGTACTTAAACCATGTGGAAAATAGCAGTATATACCATATATGTACTATATAATCATTAGTACTTTTCATTCATGTGTTTTGGTGTTTTAGCAGAATTAAGATGCACTCCAGAAAGGGAGCATATAAGTAAGTATTCAGTATAAAGATGCAAACCTTGACGTATAGAAATGGAACTGTAAAGCACAAGATCCAGGCAAACTACATCTGGAACAATCCCACACATCTTGTTTTCTCTTTATCTCAGTTCTCCCTCTAAACTGTTTTGTGCATACACAGAGATATTTCCTTAAATTACAGATTTGTGTGACCTCAATCTTTTACCTTTGTCTTACTGGAATTCATGGAATAGGCATTTTACTCATCTAATTCTCAGGGAGATTTGGTTGATTGGAACTCAAATCTTTTGTTTTCCCAAAGGAATTTGAAATTACATCTCTCATATTCAGGGAGATTATCCTAGCTGTCAAAAAGTGGGACAGTTGATCTTTGTCCTAACACATAAGCTGTTGTAGCATGTACAATGCGATCAGTGTTTGGGCTGGAGAGGGAAAGTGTGATAAGAAGCACTCTAAAATTTAGTGATTCTGTGAGAAAGGAGAAGATGAATTCTGTTTTCTGCTCCAATGAATATTTAAATACTGATTCAAATTAGAAGAGCTGAAGAAGAGTTTGCTGCCTAGTCCCTTCTCAGAAGCCTGTCAGCTGCTGAATATAGTGTGAATCATTTTTGTCCTGCGTGAAGTGACCAACACTGATCTCTGAGAGAAAAGTACATGCACCTGACTTTTAAAAGAGGAATTTGTGACTGCTTAGCACAGAGAGAGCTCCCTGTAAGGAAGAGTTATGTTTCTTAGTCTCTGTGGTGGGGGGGCTTAAATCTTAAATGTTTTCCTTATCACTGCTTACTAATTAATTTTAGCTTATGTAATTTAGTAATTTTGCTTCACTTATTGGCTTCTCTGGAACCTCCTCTTACTTACTGAGATGCAGTGGCAGAAATCCAAGTGATGCAAATCTAGTAACGTGTTGTATGCCAAAGAGGATTTTTCAGTTCTGAGTATTTGAGGGTTAATAATCTTCATAGTTACCATCACTAACAATAACTCAATATTAGAAAATGAGAACTACTTGTATTGAAGTTCATTAATTATATTTGAAACTGATTCTAGCAGCTGATGGAACTATTGACACATATGATAAGCAGAGATTTTTATCAATGTAAGTGAGATCAATGCCTGCTTAGTGAGCACACGCAACTGAATGAAAGTAAGTCCTGAGTGATTTTAAATGACTTGCAGAACTTCCTTGTCATCTGAAGAGAGGATGTTTACTCCCACATCTTTACATGTCTGGCACTTAATTGATTCTTTTGCGTGGTTAAAAGGGTTCATACAATTAATAACTTAACTCCTAGAACTTAGCTCCATTCTGAATCCTGCAGAGACCCCAGGGCTTTATTTAATCCTTTTCTTTTGGCAGTGACCATATTGCTCACTCACTTCCAGCAGCTCATTTTTTCTTTACCAGGCAGCTAGCACTTGCCTTGCTTACACAGCTGTGTTATCATCTGGATATTTTTTTTTTTTTATTTTCCTGCTAAATCCAGGCTTTGAAATCTCTCAGCCTTGCTGAAATGAGTAGTGTAGTAGATATTTTCACTATTCCTTCTAAATTGTTAATCATGGCCTAGGTGCTACAGAGGGTCTGGAGATGCAGGCATTAGCCTTATTTCTGCTGGTCTCAGGCAGGATAATGTGCTTGCACCAAAAATGCAGCAGGAGAGCCAGCACGGGTATCTCCACAGTCCACATTTCATTGTTTAATTGGCTGATTTTGGGAATACAAATGTTTAACTGCAACTAAAGTTTACTGTACCATACATGGACCAAGTGTGCCAAGCCATTATGAATCAAGACTAACACAGAGCTCGTTCTGATGACTCTTACACATACCTGCTGATAGGAATATTCTTCTGCTGTGCTCTCTTTCCCAGTTTCATCAAACTTTTAATACTCGTATTTCAGAATAGCCAGATTTCCTATCTGCTGTTTCCAAGTCATGAGGGTAGCCATGCCTTGAAGCCTGTGCCATAACTTTCATGTGCTGGAGCTGTGGAAAATGTCTGCGTATCTTTCTAAATCAAAGTGAATCCATCCAGCATTCCAGATAAAATTTTTAAGTTTATCCACATCTCATCTTCCTTGCATGCCTAGCCCTTGGACCCTGTAAATATTCTATTAAGAAGAAATCTGTATTTCTTATCAGACTGTTTTTCTTATCTATATCAGGCCATAAATCGTGCGTCACTGAAGCAAACTAGCATGTCAGTGAGATGTCACCTTATCCTAGTTTAATCTAATCTATGATATACTAAGGCCATCATATATCTTACAGAAGGAAGCTAAACTGGACTCCCCAAAAGCATTGAAAGCTGTAATTAAGTCAACAAAGCTGAATTCCTCTAGTGTTTTTGCCACAACTGTTTCCTCCTTCCGGTCAAATACAGCACTGTGCAAAACATGTCATTCACTTACAGCATTCAGTGGGTACACAGTTAGCTGCAGGAGCTGTGCAAACCTTTTGCAGTTTGGACTGAGGGTGTGAAATCCAGAGCAGAGGAGCACTTACTCACATCCTTCTCATTATCTCAGCCTTCAAGGCAGAGTTGCTCTGCTTTGTCAGATTCATATGAGAGTCATTAATATATGCTACTTTATTCATCCACATCACTACATGTAGGAATAAAAAGGTTCTCTACTACCAGCAATTGCTCGGTTTTTCCTTAATGGTTGTAGAATGCTATCAGCACATACCACCCCCTGTACTACAGTGCTAGCAACCAGATCCTCAGAAAGTAGCAGTTGTACTTTTGATACATTATACAATAAGCTCATCAAACTGTCCTGCTAAACTGCTGCAATCAAGTTAGAATCATAGAATCATAGAATAGTT